CAATATTATATGTGTGTGTGTGTGTGTGTGTGTGTAATATGTCACTACATTTTGCTCTGATATGCACTTCAATTTACAAAATCAGCTCTGACAGAAATACCACAGGGAAGATGCCGTCAAGTACTTTGGTTGGATTTAGTCCTTGACTACAGAGCTAGATTACAGAGAGCACATTAGGTCAATATCAACAATACTATCTTTCATCAACTCTAGAGAAAATCTGGTTCTCTATTAAAGCCTAAGAAGGGTAAATCTTGTCTGCTCAATTACTAAACACATAATGTGTTCCTTTTCAAAATGTCAAAGAAATTTGAAAAAAAAGAATTCTGAACTGTATTAGGAAAAATTAATTGCCAAAATACTTTTATATGTTTTCCATTTATTAATTCCATGTAGCTATTGGGTACTCTGTGTGGCATCGTACAAAGTCTGAAGTATAGGAGAACTATCAAATAACAAAATTCTAATAGTTAAAATGATTACCATAAAAGTAAGAATAGACTCACTATTGATGCAACAGTACAGGGAAGTACAAGAAAATACCCAAAAATGTTTACACATAAAATATTCACGCAAATTATGAAATATTTAAATTAGTCATTAAATGGCAAATTATTTAAATATTAAATATTTAGTATATGATAAATATAACATTAAAATCAGTGATAAAAGAATGATGAATCATTGAAATAGTACTCTGGCAATGACTACCTAAATGAAATATATATAGAAAGAGAGATGGGTAGAATCATATCTACATTTAGACACACACATGCATGCTTCCGCTGTATTCCTCACATCCCAAAATAAATTTCGAATAAATAAAAACAATTTCAGTCTGCTTAAATTTTAAATACTATCTCACGTAATAAAAAATAAATAAACTTAAAAGGCAAATTACTAAGGAACAAAACATAAAGACGTGCCTGAAAAGTTACAAGACTAATATAAGGCATTTATATCAAAAAATAAAAGTTAAATATGAGAAAAAGATTTTCTCCAAGTTATAGCAAAAACAGCCTTAGTTAACATCAAAAGAATACAACGTAAAAGAACAAAGTAAAAATAGTCACCTATCAAAACTTTAAAACACTACAGCTTGTTATTATGAGTTTTTTGGGGGTTTTTTGGTTTTTGTTTTTTGGGGTTGTTTGCCATAGTTGTCTAATGCAGTGTTTCTGCAGAACAATTTGACAACATGTATTTAAAACCATATAAAAGGCCCAAACTATTTGGCTGAAGAATAACAACTCTATACTCTTTCCCAGTAAAAATACCAGAGATATTTCAAAATTCATATATAATTATGTTCTTCTTTATATATTTGTTATCAAAAATTGTAATCAATCAAATTATCCAATAATAGTAGCATATTTACACAAATCATAAATGTCTAAATGACTTTGTGATTTATAAAATTGCTGACAGCATAATATGAAATAACAAAAACAAGAAATAAAGTGTCTAAATTCTGTCCCCAGAAATCTTCTCTACCTCCTCCAGCTCTTTAAGAAACAGACAATGAGACACTGAGAAAGAAACGAGGAACTGGATTATAAACTAGAAACTTACGGGCCAGGAGAATCAGAGGAACCATCTTCCCACTGCCATGCGTTGTCCTCTTCCTTATAAGATATGCCAATCCAGGTATGACTTACTAAAAGTAACCCCGTGATATTCTGCTTGAAGACAAAGTACACAAAGATAATTTCTTAATACTAAAAGTGCATAAGAAAATTTTAAGAATATGAAACGTGTCAAGTTAGAAGTAATTATAAAAATAATACAGTCTATATATGGCCACTGATAAATGAAACATCAAAAATAACATTTCAGTACTTCAATGTCTGTGCATTTTTCGAACCATGAATTAAATACAAAATAGAACAAAAAGAGATGGCAATTAGAAAGCTTTATATTCAAGAAGATATTGCACTACAATATAAGTTCCTTCTCTTAACTCATTTTATCATTTATTCAACTCTGTGCCTGTGCTTTAAGTTTGAGATTTATCACTGAACAAAAATGACAAAAATCCTTGGTTTGGGGAGATTTGGGACAAGTACAAATAAACTACATATGTGAAATTAATATGGTATGTGAGAAGGTGACACGTTCTATGAAAAAAACTTAGAGCAAGGTCACAGGGGCTGAGAGAACATGGAATGCAGAATGAACAGAGACGGCGAAGGCTCTCGGCTCTACAGTAAGGGCATGCCTGGTATGTCGAAGAAAAGAAAGCCATGCTGAAGTGGAGTACAATCAGGAAAGATCAGTAAAAAAGTTAAGAAAGAGACTGTCCCTTTCCCTTGTTTTAGAGCCGCGGGTGAGTCCTTTCTGTGCCTGAACTCTAGTATATGTTCATATTTCAGAAGTAAAGAAAGAAATTCAACTTTATTATCAATATGCTCCTTTCTGTCTTTAAAAATGTAGCATTCAAAGAGACACAAAGATGAGAACAGTTTAACCAAGAAAACACTTCCATGGTTTGGTGGTAGCTGTGGTTTTCATACTGTACCCAGTGGTTCAGAGGACTTCCATGTCTGTCTCCCAGGAAAGAAAATATTTGTAACTCAGAGCTCACAGAACATTATGAAGGAGGCTGAGAGCTTCAGACATTTCCCTCTTGGAAGATTGAGGCTGATGTTAAGAATTATTATCAGCTCAGCATTCTCACTTACAAAATTACCTTGTCTGGCCTTTAGTTCTTGTAGATCCTCCATGAGGTACACATTCTGCTTTCGGAGCCACTCTAGGGTTTCTATATGGGACAAGAGTTAACACTAGATGAGAGTGCACACTGCACCTGGCTTTTTGTACTATTTCAAAATTCACATAATAATAATGAGCAAGTGCCAAAATATATCCATAACTTTAGACCAGTCCCTTCCTCTACTGAATGAGTTTGATCTCTGGCTGAAAAAATTGATTACTTAGAATCCCTCCTTTTTTAAAAAAAAGATATTATATATTCTTTCTTTCTTTATTTTTTTATTTTATTTTATTTTGTCAATACACAATGTGGTTGATTATTGTGGCCCATCACTGAAGCTTCCCTCCCTCCGTCCTCTCCCCCGTCCTTCCCAACAACATGACCAATTACTGAAGTACTCTGCAAGGGTTGAGTTCATTATTCACTGTAAGCTCAGTAACTCATAAGCAAAAAACCCCACAGTTTAATACAGGACTTTAAAAAATATTTACCGTGAACATAGACTATTTTTATATTACAATTTAAATGACACAAAATAAGCTTTTTGATCACTCTAGCATTTTAAACTCCTCTCCTTAAGGAGGAATTTAGAAACCATGAAAACACCATTTTTCAGGTATTTAAGCTCTGATTCTGTGCACCCTGAACATCTGCACATAAGTCTACTGCACATCTTGACACTTTGGTTTATTTTTGGTTTCTATGTTTTGTTTAAGCCTCTCAAAGGTAGGATTCATATTGTATTTGTCGTTGACCACCAGCATAGTGGCTAACATGTAGTGTACATCGAACACATGTGAATGAAAAGATGAGTGACTAAGCAAATCAATTAGCACATGAGACTATGTTTGATAAGTATGAGACTCACACAGTTTCAAAAGATGACACAAGGAGCTAAAAGAGGCAAAATGCCATCAGAACTACCCTGCTGCTCTATTAGAGTGCTCCATAATACATAAAGCAAGAATACGTTTCAGGGCCGTAACAAGGAAAACATTCTAGCATTCTGTAAAGATAGTTTGTTCCAGCTCCAATATTACCTTTATTTTGGTCAAGAGTTTTTTGGACCAGAAGAAATTTTTCTGCTTTGTTTTGGAAAGACTCAGTCAATTGGTTAAAGCTCTTCATCTTGTTCTCTGATGCCTGAACACTTTGAAAATCTAAAAACAAAATTTAAAACATGGATAAGACATGTGCTCAATTTTGAAACAGTAGCTTATTAGATTACAAGGGCTAAATTTTATACTTAGTTTGTTCCTTAATAAAGTTTCCCATATGTTTTCTTAAACTATAAATTAAATAGATCTTAACTTAGTATTATTTCTAAAATCCATACCTAAAACTGAAACATTAACTCAATTTATTTTAAGATTGAATGTTTGTATTTATATGAATAGATGAGTGGTTTAACTCAATTAAAACAGACAACAACAGCCACAAAAACCAAGTCCTCAAACATATCTTTCAGCATCATTACTGGCTGATTTAATATGTATAATTTCACTTCCTATTCAAAATTTTAGAATTTTGAGTTTCAAACTAATGTTATCATTAGGAAACTACTATTTTAAAATAAAATTTTGCAAACAATTTTCATAATGATAAAAACATTCTATTAATCTCATTTAGGCTGTTGCAGCAAAGAAAACAATCAACAGAGTTAAAAGACAAACTACAGAATGGAAGAAAATATTTGCAAACTACATATCTGACAAGGGATTAATATCAATAATATACAAAGAGCCCAAACAACTTAACAGCAAATAAAAACAAATAATCCAATTAAAAAATGGGCAAAAGATCTAATAGACATTTCTCAAGGAAAGACATACAAATTACCAACAGGTATATGAAAAAATGTTCGACATCACTAATCAACAGGGAAATGAAATTCAAAACCACTGTGAGATATCACCTCTCCCTAGTCAGACTGGCCATTATCAAAAAGACCAAGAATAACAAATGCTGGCGAGGGTGAAGAGAAAGGGGAACCCTTCTGCACTGCTGGTGGCACTGTAAATTAGTATGGCCATGGCGGAGAACAGTGTGGAGGTTCCTCAAACAACTACAGATAGAACTATCATACGATACAGCAATCCCACTCCTAGAGATATATCCAGAGGACTGGAAATCATTATGTCAAAGGGACACCTGCACTCCCATGTTTACTGCAGCTCTATTTTTAATAGCCAGGCAATGGAACCAACTTAAATATCCATCAGTGGATGACTGGATAAGGAAAATGTGGTATATACACATGATGGAATACTACTCAGCCATAAAAAAGAATGAAATTCTGCCATTTGCAGCATCATGGACAAGGCTGGAGAAAAACCATCCTAAGTGAAACAACCGAGGTGCAGAAAGAGAAATACCACATGTTCTCACTCATAAGCAGTAGCTGAACCTATAAATAAATAAACAATTGAGACAGAAAGAGAAAAAGAAAGAAACAACAATCACAGTAATACATTGAACTTTTAGCAAGAAAGAAAAGAACTGTTGATTACTAGAGGTGAAAAAGGGGAGGGGGGAGTTTAATGAGGAATTGGTTAGCCATGATTAAAAAGACCAAGAATAACAAATGCTGATAACGCATTGAACCAAGAATGATTACACATTGTAATGATGAATAAGCTAGCTAACCTGATCTAACCAGCACACATTATACACACTATTGAAAATCAACACTGTACCCCACTTGTACGTATAATAAATTATCTTAAAAATGTGTTTAAATAGAATAAAATAAGGACATTCCTTCTGTGACAACAACAAAAAAAGCAAAAAAAATAATTTAGGCTGCAGGAGGCAAATTATGTTACTTTCTATGACAGTTGTAAATTCATCAAGCTAAATTTCTTAATAAGTTGTAAATTTTCCAAATAATAATAATCACATTACTATCAATATCATCTACTGAAACTGCAATCGTGTAACTTTCTTTGGTGAAATGTGCAGTTATTGAGAGCTCACAAGGTCAAGTTTACCCATATAATAAAAAGTTCTGATACTTTTGTATCATTTTACCTGTTTCCTGTTCAGTGTGGCAATAAAACACTTACAAAAAATATTATTTGAAATATGTTTAGAGAAATATGGTAATCTGACAAAGAATCTATTTCTTCTTTTTCTTTGATTAATCAGACTTAACACTGATAAGCAAAGAATCCACACAACATTAAGAGCAACAGGCTGAAGACACCCAGTGTCACAGGAATTATTCCATATAGAGAAAAGGAAAAAGAAGAAGCTGAGAAACAGAAAAAATAATAATTAGAAATAATGTGAGTTCTTGTTATTCAATATATTAATGTCATTATTTTCCATTTCATATTGTTCTCAAAATACCTTGAATTTTCTGAAAGATAATGTCCAATGTATGAATTACTATGAACTGCTAGACTGAATGAGAAAAAAAAATATTTTAAAAGGATGTGCAGAAAAGAGTTAATAGACCAAACCTGACTACTCTCTTTGAAAGTCCTACTTACAAGGGTGGCCTTGGCTGGCATCTGGAAACTTAGATTTTGAGAGGGTACCCATCACTGTTAACTGATGAGAGTGTCTCACTATGCCTAAACTCTTCGCACAAATAATATGGTTTATGTTGAACATCTGCTTTCCTTCTGGAATTCTGGAATTGTTGCATGCCAGCCAGAAGCTGCCTATGTGGACAGTGCCCAATAAAGACACTACGCGCTGAGCCTCTGATGAGTTTCCTTGATTGGCTGCATTTCACATTCACTGCCACAACCTGTTGCTGGGGGAATTAGCATGTCCTGCATGACTCCACTGGGAGAGAACCCATGGAAACTTGCACTTGCTCTCTCCAGCTCTCACTGTGTGTGCCATTTCCCTTTATCCTTTCACCGTCATAAATCTTAGCTATGAGTACAACTATATACTGAGCCTGAGAGACCTCCTAGTGAATCGTCAAACCTAAGGGTGGTCTTAAGGATCACTAGCACAAGCAAAAATTGTATGTACAATGTATTACTAAACATCCTTAAATACCACATATATAATTTCAGCTCAGATTACATTATTCCAATTGATATGATCAAATAAGGACAGCCTTAATTAAGTTTGTGTTATTATTAAAATAAAATTCTTTATTTGGACTCGATGGCTAGCAGCATACTCCCTTCATAAAGAATCGCTATAAATCTCAGGACTCATTTTAACCAGATATTTTCTTTTCTTTCTTTTTTTTTTTTTTAAAGATGACCGGTAAGGGGATCTTAACCCTTGACTTGGTGTTGTCAGCACCACGCTCAGCCCGTGAGCGAACCGGCCATCCCTATGTGTGATCCGAACCCGGGGCCTTGGTGTTATCAGCACTGCACTCTCCTGAGTGAGCCACGGGCCGGCCCCCCAGATATTTTCTTTCAAGCCCAACAACATCTATGAATATAACTATATTCAACTCCTTAAAAGAATAAGATGCTACATCTCCATATTCTAGAAACTAAACTTTCAGACATCATTGGTTAGATTCTTTTTATCTGTATGATGATCTTCCTCCAAAATAAATTTGTATGTTCTAGTACTAAAAAAATTATTTCCTTACATTATAGAAAAATTGCACTTTTGAAACAAGGTAAAAAGTTTCCATCAAAGAAAATAGTTATATTCATAATCTAATGTCCAAAACATTTTTTGATTTTCTGACTAATAAAACTCAGTGGTTATCAACCAGGGGCAATTTTGCTAACCAGAAGAGATTTGCAAATATCTGGATATTTTTGATATCATTACTAAGGGGCAGGTGCTGGCATCTAGTTGGTAGAAGCCAGGGATGCTCTTAAACTTCCTACAATCACAGGAAAGTCCTTCAAAACAAAGAATATTTTAGTCTAAAATGTCAGGAGTGTTGAAGTTAAGAAATTCTGCTCTATCTAAATGATGATCAAAAGGAAGCAAACTTTTAGTAGTGTTCTGTTTTGTTTTGTTTTTTAATAAATTTACTGACTTTTAAACCTTGATTAGCTTGATTAAATCTCTCAGCTTCACGTAAGAAAACAAGCTTAAATTTTAAAAAATAGTTTATCATCTTTAAATGTCTCCTTAAAATATAAAATTTCAAACATCTCTGTGAGTAAATATGCCTTTGTTTTACTATTTCAATCTCTATATTTTGTCTAAATATAAAAATTCCACATAGTAACAACTAGATAGTAAAATCAAGATAAAATGTACCTTCCTATTAACAAAGAGAGAACATAAATAAGTAAAATCGGGCATATATACTTTACCATTCACATTGGTGCTTTCAGGAATTGGGCCCCGTTCATCCTCTGGAGGAGGAGGAAGAGGAGGAAGGTCGAGAGCTGGTTCCAAGTGCACCATAAGGACTGTTTCTGTCTGCTCTGTGATTTCTTTTAGCACAGAAAATATGTAAGAAATGTATAATCTTGTAAAAAAAAAAAACAGGATTAAAATTTGGTTTAAGATATTCATTTCTATTTTCAAAAATTGCTAGAAATACAAATGTAGTTGTATAGACTCTGGACCCTGACTTAAGATGGCTCAACTTACAATTTTTCACTTTACAATGGTGTGAGACTTCCAGTCAAGATGGCAGAATAGTTGTTCCCCAGCGTCACTCTCTCCCACAAATCAACTGATTTACAACTACAGAAACATAACATCAAGTGCATACAGAATGGGGAGACATCCAGCGGGGGAGGCAGAAGCTCTGTGGAGACCACATGCCCTGCAGGGCTGCTGTTTCACGATACAGTAGATAGGCTTCACCGCCGCCACCCGGCTCCATTCCGAGCCTGGCCCACTGCACACGGAGTGGGGAAATGTCCAGCAAGGGAGGCGGAGGCTCCACAGAAAACACACATCCTGTGGGGCTGCCACTGCGGGATCCAGCAGATAGGCTTCACCACAGGTACCCGGCTCTGTTCCCAGCCTGGCCTAGTGCGCACAGAGCAGAGTGATGTCTGGCAGGGGAGACGGGAACTCCGTGGGGACCAGACCGCCACACAGTATCCAGCAGCCCAGCCCAGTGCACACGGGTGGAACAGGGAGGCATCCAGCAGGGGAGGCAGAAGATCCACAGAGACCACATCACTGCCGCATTATCCAGCAGCCTGGCCCAGTTCTTACAGAGCAGAGAGACATCCAGCAAGGGAGGCAGAAGCTCCGTAGAGACCACACATCCTGTGGGGGGCCACAGCTGCATGATCCAGCAGCAGGTAGGCTTCACCGCTGCAACTTGGCTCCATCCCAAGCCCGGCCCAGTGCACATGGAACAGGGAGATGTCCAGCAGGGGAGGTGGAAACTCGGCAGAGACTACACATCCTGTGATACCACCCCGCGACCCAGCATCCTGGCCGAATCCAAGCTGACCAAAGAGGTGGCTCCCCAGAGAGGCCCAAGACCTGAGGCAACCACACACACAATGCACTAGTGGACAACTGAGCAGTCACTGAGGTAGCCATACCAAATTGGCAACTCCAACAATATCTTAGTCAGACAAGAGTGTCAAACCTGTGGACTGTGAAACCCCCTGCCACAATGAATAAACATCACAGTAAAGATACCAGAAATAGGAAAACTCTAGAAAATACACCATCAAAGGGTAACAACTCTCAAGCTGTAGATCCTATAGAACAAGAAGCCCTTGAAATGACTGACAAGAAATTTCAAGTGATAATTCTAAGGAAACTGAATGAGATACAAGAAAACTCAGCTGGACAACATGATGAAATGAGGAAAAGTATACAGGACCTGAAAGAAGAAATGTAGAAGGAAATCGATGCCCTGAAAAAAAATGTAGCAGAACTTGCCGAACTGAAGAATTTATTCAGCGAAATAAAAAACACAATAGAGAGTTTAACCAACAGGCTTGCAGAAGTTGAAGAGAGAACCTCTGAACTTGAAGACAGGCTGTTTGAAATAACACAGGCAGATGAAAGAAAAGAAAAGAAAAGAAAAGAAAAGAAAAGAAAAGAAAAGAAAAGAAAGAAAGAAAAAAAAAGAAAAAAGAATCAAAGGCATTGAAGAAAATCTAAGAGAGATATCAGACAACCTTAAGCACTCGAATATCTGAGTCATGGATATTCCAAAAGGGGAGGAAAAAGGAGATTGCATTGAAAACATCTACAACCAAATAGTGTTGTATAATTCCCAGGTATAGGAAAAATCACAGATCTTCAGATCCAGGAAGCTCAATGATCTCCAAACGTATTCAACCCAAAAAGGTCTTCTCCAAGACATGTTATAGTCAAATTGGCAAAACTCAAAGACAAAGAGAGAATCTTAAAAGCTGCAAGAGAGAAGAATCAAATCACCTATGAGGGAGTCCCAATCAGACTAACATCAGAATTTTCATCACAAACCCTAAAAGCCAGAAAGGAATGGGATGATAGATTCAAAATACTAAAAGACGGAGATTGCCAGCCAAGAATACTCTACCCTGCAGAGCTATCCTTCTGAAATGAAGGGCAAATAGTATATTTCTCAGACAAACAAAAACTGCGGGAGTTCACCACCACATGACCACCCTTACAAGAAACTCTCAAGGGAGTACTGGCTTTGGTTCCTGAAAAATAACTACCAGTGCCATAAAAACCTGAGAAAAATCAGAACCCACTAGTATAAAAATGGCATTCATGAAGAGAAAACAAACAAACAAAAAGGCTATCTACAACCCAACGAGCCAAAAAATACAGAAAACAATTAGTAAATCAGAGAACAAGGAACAAAAGACAACTAAGACAACCAAAACATAATCAATAAAATTCTAGGAATAAATCAACACTTTTCAATAAAAACTCTGAATGTAAAAGGCTTAAATTCCCCAATCAAAAGACACAGACTGGCTGACAGGATTAAAAAGGAGGACCCAACTATATGGTGCCTTCCAGAGACCCACCTCATCCAAAAAGATTCACATAGACTAAGAGTGAAAGAATGGAAAAAGATTTGCCATGCAAACAGAAAAGAAAAACGAGCTGGAGTAGCTATTCTTATATCTGATAAAAAAGACTTTAAACTACAAACCATAAAAAGAGATAATGAGGGACACTATGTAATGATAAAAGGATTAATCCATCAAGAAGACATAACAATCATAAATATGTATGCACCCAATGTTGGAGCAGCCAGATTTATAAAACAAACTCTATTAGACCTATAGAAGGAAATAGACACTAATAACATAATAACAGGGGACCTGAACACCCCACTGTCAATATTGGACAGATCGTCTAGGCAAAGAATCAGCAGAGAAACACAAGATCTAGCCAACACTCTACACCAATTGGACTTGGCAGATATCTACAGAACATTCCATCCAACAACCTCAGAATATTCATTCTTCGAAGCAGTATGAAGGAGAATTTTATTGCATTAAATTCTCACTTCAGAAGAATGGAAAGATGGCAAGTGAACAACCTAACACTTCACCTTAAACAACTAGAAAAACAAGAACAGTCCAAACCTAAAGTTAGCAGATGGAAAGAAATCATTAAGATCAGAGCAGAACTTAATGAAATTGAAACCCAAAAAACAATACAAAAGATCAATGAATCAAAAAGTTGGTTTTCTGAAAAGATAAATAAAATTGACAAACCATTAGCATGGCTAACAAAAAAAACGAAGAGAGAAGATTCAAATAAAAAAATTAGAAATGAAAAAGGTGATATTTCAACTGATTCATCTGAAATGCAAGGAATCATTCGAGACTACTATAAAAAACTATACGCCAACAAATTTGAAAATCTGGAGGAAATGGATAAATTTCTGGACACACACAAGCTACCAAAACTGAGCCATGAAGATGTAGAAAATCTGAACAGACCAATTACAATAAAGGAGATTGAAGCTGTTATCAGAAGGCTCCCAACACAGTAAAGCCCAGAACCAGATGGATTCACAGCAGAATTTTACCAAACATTCAAAGAGGAATTGACACCGATTCTTTACAAACTATTCCAAAAGATTGAAACAGAGACCATTCTCCCAAACTCATTCTATGAAGCAAACATCATCCTGATACGAAAACCAGGTAAAGATATAACCAAAAAAGTAAACTACAGGTTGATATCTTTGGTGAATATACATGCAAAAATCCTCACTAAAATACTAGCAAACAGAATACAACAACCCATACATAAAATTATTCACCATGATCAAGTGGGAATCATCCCAGGGATGCAAGGTTGGTTCAACATATGCAAATCAATAAATGTGATACACCATATTAATAAAATCAACACAAGGACCATATGGTCATTTCTATAGATGCTGAAAAAGCATTTGATAAAATTCAGCACTCATTCATGACAAAGACCCTCTATAAGTTAGGTATAGATGGAAAGTATCTCAAAATAATTAAAGCCATATAGGATAAACCCACTGCCAATATCATCCTGAATGGGGAAAAGCTGAAAGCTTTTCCTTTAAGAACAGGAACTAGACAAGGGTGCCCACTCTCACCACTCCTATTCAACAGAGTGTTGGAAGTACTAGCCAGAACAATCAGAGAAGAGAAGGAAATAAAGGGCATCCAGATTGGAAATATGAAGTCAAACTGTCCCTGTTTGCAGACAACATGATCCTATATATTGAACAGCCTAAAGCCTCTACAAAAAAACTCTTGGACTTGATAAATGATTTCAGCACAGTAGCAGGATACAAAATCAACACACAAAAGTCAGTAGCATTTCTATTCTCCAATAGTGAACACGCAGAAAGGGAAATCAAGAAAGCTTGCCCATTTACAATAGCCACCCCCCAAAAATAAAATACTTAGGAATTGAGTTAACCAATGATGTGAAAAATCTCTATAATGAGAACTACAAACCACTGCTGAGAGAAATTAGAGAGGATACAAGAAGATGGAAAGATATCCCATGCTCTTGGATTGCAAGAATCAACATAGTGAAAATGTCCATACTACCCAAAGTGATTCATCCTAGAGGATAGAAGTATGCAGTACATTTTTGAAAAGGTATATGTTATTTTTAATTCATTATGGCAAAAAAATATAGAGTTCCATTTATAGAGAAGGTATAGTTTTCTTCTAAAATAAAGCTATTTAAACAAAATAAAATAAATGTATGTAAGTTAAAAAGTAATCGAGAAAGTAATACATAAATAATTGTTTGGATTATATGCAAATATGGCATATCTTTTGTGATACGGTGCACAAAGGACTGAAGTTTTAAAAAGTTCATTTCCTCAAGGAAATGAACTCTACTTCTTAAGATAGAAGATCGAAAAGAAGTGGCGATGTATATTTCTATTTTCCATCTCATACCATATGTGTCTAGCCATTACTTCTTGGCTTACTCTTTTTTATTTATTTTATTTCATTTATTTCAAGTGAGAACCTGTGATATTTCTCTTTCTGTGCCTGGCTCATTTCACTTAATATAATTCTCTCTAGGTCCATCCATGTCGTTGCAAATGGCAGTATTTCATTCTTTTTTATAGCTGAGTAGTATTCCATTATGCAGATATACCACATTTTCCGTATCCACTCCTCTGATGATGGACATTTGGGCTGGTTCCAAGTCTTGGCTATTGTAAAGAGTGCTGCAATGAACATTGGGGAACAGGTATACCTTTGACTTGATGATTTTCATTCCTCTGGGTATATTCCCAGCAATGAGATAGCTGGGTCATATGGTAGATCTATCTTCAGCTGTTTGAGGAACCTCCATACCATTTTCCATAGAGGCTGCACCATTTTGCAGTCCCACCAACAGTGTATGAGTGTTCCTTTTTCTCCATAACCTCGCCAGCATTTATCGTTC